GCTGCCATTCACACATCTCATTCTAGGGTCTGCATTTTAAAACACAGTATTCCATATCCCAGCTGCGAAGAACTAACAACAAAACTCAAATTCTAGGCTAATTCCACGATGAATTTAATGCATTATATGGGAACTTTTAAAAAAATGTATATATTCATTTGAAAGGCAGAGTTACTGAAAGAAGGAGAGACAGAGACAGAGACAGAGAGAGAGAGAGATCTTCCATCTACTGGTTCACTCCCCAAATGGCTACAACATTTAGGGTTGGGCCAGGCTGAAGCTAGGAGCCAGGAACTCCATCCATGTCTCCCATGTGGGAGGCAGGGACCCAAGTACTTGGGCAATCATCTCATTCCTTCCAAGGCACATTAGCAGGAGGCTGGATCTAAAGCAGAGCAGCTGTGACTCCAACCAGCACTCTGATATGGGATGCAGGAGCTGCAAGTGGCAGCTTAAATCACTGTGCCACAAATACTTTAGCTATTTGGTACTCACTGCCATCTTGGAAATGAATAAATTTACTAATCTGAACCTGTTTTCATTAGGATACATGTGTTAATGTTTTCAAAATATTTAACTGTTCTATGCATGCAACAAGAGAAAGCACTTTAATTTTTTTAGAGGGAAAAAAAACACAAACAGTCTTTCTCAACCTTCCAGCTGATAAAACTGGTATAGCCTAATTCACCAAAAACATATCAGGCACCTACTCCTGAACAAAGACTTAGCCTGGCACTGAAATGCATTTGGACCTCGGATGCCATCTCTATCTTCAAGAAGCTTTAAACGTGATGTAAAAGAAAGGCAAGCAAATGGTGATACCTGTTGACACCTGTGAGGCCTGCTGCAATGGAGGAGAATATGAGATTCCGCTGGAGCACACAGAACGGGCAGCTAAACCATCGTGCTTCTGGAGGAAGGTTTCCAAATCACTGCTCCTCATAAGCAACAGACCAGTCAGCTGGGGATCTGGTTCCCAGTTCCTACTGGTTCAGGGGGTCCGCAGTAGGGCCCGAGAGTCTGCACTGCTCAGCGGCTCCCAGGGGATGCAGGTACTGCTGCACTGAAGACAGCCAAGGGAGCAGAGGGCTAGACTGCAACACTGAGGCCAGGCCAGTGGGGTGCAGTAGCATTTCAGGCAGAGGCGAGGATGGGAAAACAGCAAGAGAAGAGTCCCCAACGCTGACCACGCCTGGGCCCATGAGGTCAATAAAGAGAAGAGAAGAATTAGAGGTACCAGGGAAAGGCCAGCATTTGGAAGTGCGACGCGGTCTTCTGTCTTAGTCTGTCCCAGCTGCTGCAGCAAAAGACCATCAACTGGGTGGCAACAGAAACTCGTGGCTCACGGCTCTGTGCTCTGGGAAGCCGAGCGTCGGTGTGCTCCCAGATCCAGTGTCCGGTGAGGGCCAGCTTTCTGCTTCGTGGGTGGGGCCTTCTAGCTGGTGGAAGCCTCCAGCTAGCTCTCCAGGGTCTTCTTTGCAAGTCTAATCCTGCTGCGGGGGAGGGGTGACTCATGATGTACCCACCTCTCAAAGCCTCCACCTTCTAATACCTAAACACTAGGAATTCAACCTTTAAATTTGGGGGATGGGAGGCAACACAATTAAACCACAGCCCTTCCTTAACTAGACTTCATAGCCCTCCAATTCAGAGTCATCAGAAGGTAAATCTAAATTATTTAACATCTCACCATAAAAAAAATTTTTTTTGGACAGGCAGAGCTAGACAGTGAGAGAGAGAGAGAGAAAAAGATCTTCCTTCCATTGGTTCACCCCCCAAATGGCCACTACAGCCAGCGTGCTGCGCCAGTCCAAAGCCAGGAGCCAGGTGATTCTCCTAGTCTCCCATGCAGGTGCAGGGCCCGAGCACTAGGGCCATCCTCCACTGCACTCCCAGGCCACAGCAGAGAGCTGGACTGGAAGAGGAGCAACCGGGACAGAATCCGGCGCCCCAACCGGGACTAGAACCCAGAGTACCGGCACCGCAGGTAGAGGATTAGCCTAGTGAGCCGTGGCGCCGGCCACCATAAAATTTTTTAAAGGGAATTGTTTCAAGTACATCTAGACTTGTATCTCATCAGGGTCACTGCCACATCCACTTGGGTGAATAGGCAATTACTGGGGCCGGCACTGTGGCATAGCAGGTAAAGCCACCATCTGCAGGACCGGCATCCCATATGAGCACTGGCTCAAGTCCCAGCTGCTCCACTTCTGATCCAGCTCCTTGCTAATGAGCTAGGAAAAGCATCGAAAGTTGGTCCAAGTACCTGGGCCCCTGCCACCCACATGGGAGACCAAGATGACACTCTGGGCTCCTGCTTTGGCCTAGGCCAGCCCCAGCCATTTCGGCCATTGGCAGAGTGAACCAGCAGATAGAAAATCTCTCCCTTTCAATAAATATATTTATTTATTGAAAACACACAGTCTTCAAGAACTTAAAAATATTCCTTTCCTTTTCCTTTCATAAGTATCTTTTATTCTACATATGCTCACTTAACAATTTTTTTTAAGAGTAATAGAAGGGCCAGCATTGTGGTGTAGCAGGTAAAGCTGCAGTCTGCATTGCTGGCATCCCAAGTGGGTGCCAGTTCGAATCCCAGCTGCTTCACTTCTGATCCAGCTCTCTGCTATGGCCTGGGAGAGCAGTGGAAGATGGCCCAAGTCCTTGGGCCCCTGCGCGCACATGGGAGACCCAGAAGAAGCTCCTGGCTCCTGGCTTTGGATCAGCTGAGCTCTGACCATTGCGGCCATTTGGGGAGTGAACCAGCGGATGGAAGATCAATCGATCTCTCTGCCTCTGCCTCTGCCTCTCTCTAACTCTGTCTATCAAACAAAATAAATTTTAAAAAAAGAGTAATAGAAAAGAAGAACTTTAATTGGATCTGTATCTCCAATAAAAAGAGCTCAAAATAAAAAGATTTTCTAAAATCAATGAATCAGTGCCATTCCAGAAAAAATACTATGAAAAATCTAAATGACATGTTGATATTAAAGGTTTTTTTTATTTAATATAATTATGGTTCATGCAACTAAATATATGCATTTTTCTACTGAGAAGAAATTGAACATACACGCGAACTGAACTGCTGAGTACAGAGAACACAGAAGGCTGAAATATAAACTCTGAGAATTCACGCTGCCGTGCACACCATCTGCTCACCCGACTCGGCAACAATATTGTGAAAATCTGCAGGCATATTTTTTGAGGAAGTAGTTCTTCAGAACAGCTTCCATTCAGAAGTTTATATTAGACTGATACTGTGGCTTTACAAAAAAAAAAAGTTATTCAGTCTAAATTACGCCTGTGAGGTGCCTCTGTCTGAGAGGCAGAGAGACAGAAGACAGAGACAGAGAGCTCCTATTTGCTGGTTCACTCCCCAGATGTTGGCTCCAGCTAGGGCTGACCCAGTGTTGAAGCCAGGAGCCAGGAACTCAATCCAGGTCTCCCATGTGGCTGGCAGGAACGCAACTACCTGAGCCATCCACACTGCCTCCCAAAAATCTGTATTAGCAGGAAGCAGGAATCACGAGCTAGAACCTGAAACTGAACCCGGCTATTCTGATGTGGGACACGTGTGTGTTAACCTCAAGGCTAAATCCCCACTCCCTAAATTGTTTTTTAAAGAGGCACATGAGTATTATCCTTTTGAAAAAGTTATACTGACTACATAATAATAAGACATAAAAACATAATGATTGTCCTTAAAACAAACTGCCTAAATGAGCTACAAACTCAAGTGTGCATAATGAAACTCTATATTACTTAAATCAAATGATCATTTTAGAAAGTTAAAAGCCTACTAGCCATATTCCTCCAGGAAATTAATTTTTTTCTTTTTTTTTTTTTCTTTTTGACAGGCAGAGTGGACAGTGAAAGAGAGAGACAGAGAGAAAGGTCTTCCTTTGCCGTTGGTTCACCTTCCAATGGCCGCCGCGGCCGGCATGCTGTGGCCGGCGCATCACGCTGATCCGAAGGCAGGAGCCAGGTACTTATCCTGGTCTCCCATGCGGTGCAGGGCCCAAGTACTTGGGCCATCCTCCACTGCACTCCCTGGCCACAGCAGAGAGCTGGCCTGGAAGAGGGGCAACCGGGACAGAATCCAGCGCCCCGACCAGGACTAGAACCCGGTGTGCCGGCGCTGCAAGGCGGAGGATTAGCCTAGTGAGCCGTGGCGCCGGCTGGCAGGAAATTATTTTAATAGCCAACTCCCTCTTGGATAAGCTGGTGCATTGACCTCAGCTTCCCAACCTTTCCTACAATCTCCTGCAAGGTTTTAAGAAATGAAGCACTCCAAAAAAAGACAAACACTAAAAAAGAAAAAAAAATTCATGTTCAGGGTTCAAACAAGTCCATCAAATTCTCAAGCATTCTATTGCCACTTTTAAAGAGAAACTAAGTTTAAAAACTGGCTCCCACCTAAAACATGCATGTTCTGAATGAAACAGAAATGCCCATCTAAAATGAGAACTCTCCATGATTAAATGGAAAGAGACGGCCTCTAACAGCTTTGCTTCTCAAGTTTTACTGTAATCCAAGATACACTTCATGTGCTAATTCAACTGCAGGATTTGAGGCACTACACTGAATGTGTGTACTGCCACCCTTGGCACCACACTCCCAGCTCAGTGGCTCTGTCCTGGGGAAGGTCTTACCTGGATTCCAAATCAAAGGCCAAGAAAAACACCAGGAATCCACAGCCAGGGAATGAGGCCTGGATTCGTGGAAACAACTCGAACCAACCTCACAAGACATGGGGAGGCATTTGTCTTAAAGACATAGTTCCATTGTCCTTTTGCTCCAAAACCTAGCAAGTGACTCATGACAAAGAACATCTGCTGCTGGAATAAAAAGGCTGAGAGTTTAGTCTGACTTCCACAGAAACTTACATCCCCACTCAGACACATCTGCCAATGAGGAAAACTCGTGACTTCAACAGTCAGCTTTTCTGCACAGTCCACTCCGTGGCTGCTCACTGGCTGCCCCTTGTCTGCCATCCTTACCTACTCTGTGCCATCCTTCAGGGTGACCCCAAGTCCCCCAAACCTAGTCTGTTGTCCATGATGGCTCATGAGAAGGCAGCCTTCCATTTGCTTCTAGAACATTCTGGAAAGGCACTGCAGGAGCAGAAAAGGAACAGCACGCCTCCCTGGCCTGCTACTGGTACACAGGCGGGAAGGTCCTCCTTCAAGATGACCTCACAGTAGAGAGGCACATTCCAAGTTTTCCAGATCATTCCACAATCTGTAGCTGGCGTCGTCCTAAGCAGTCATCACCTTTACTCCATGGACAAGAAACTGGCACAGCGGCCACATCAGCAAAGACAGCTGAACTGGGAACAAAGCCTTTCCAATGTGCAGTCTGAACACAGGCTCCGAGGCCGGGTGCTGAACTCCTTTCCAGAGAATGGCAGGGCACAGGAGGCAACGCAGGGCAGAACACGACAGTAGCAACACTGCTCCTTACCAAGCAGCAGAGGTCAGAACCAAGGCTACATCCAGTGTAGGTAGCAGGAGAGAATTTCTGAAGCCAGATTCAGTGTCCCACCCTGGAATCTGGCCAGGTGACTAGGGTACATTCTTCAGTCCCTGCCAATCATACCTAGGGGCTTTTCAGGAGATCTGGGGAGCACCAGGGTTGTGGCACAGTGGGTGACGCCACCTCCTATGGCACTGGCATCCCATATGTGCACTGGCTTGAGTTCCAACTGCTCCACTTGTGATCCACCTCCCTGCTAACATACCTGGGAAAGTAGCAGAGGATGGTTCAAGTGCTTGGGCCCCTGCCACCCATGGCGGAGACATGGATGGAGTTCCGGATTCCTGCTTTGGCCTGCTCCTGCCCTGGACACTATGGCCCATTTGGGGAGTGAATCAGTGGATGGAAGATCTCTCTCTCTCCCTTCTCTGCCTCTGTAATTCTGCCTTTCAAATAAATAAATAAATCTTTAAAAAGAAAAAACATTATTTTGGGAGGTATCTTCTTGGATTCTCGTGACACATGCTGATATAAGAGAGGCAGGGTGGGGGCCGGCGCTGTGGCGCAGGGGGTTAACACCCTGGCCTGAAGCGCAGGCATCCCATATGGGCACCGGTTCGAGACCTGGCTGCTCCACTTCCAATTCAGCTCTCTGCTATGGCCTGGGAAAGCAGTAGAAGATGGTCCAAGTCCCTCAGCCCCTGCACCTGCGTGGGAGACCCAGAAGAAGCTCCTGGCTCCTGGCTTTGGATCAGCGCAGCTCCAGCCATTGAGGCCAATTGGGGAATGAACCATCAGATGAAAGACCTCCCTCTCCTTCCCTGTCCCCTCCCTCCCTCTCTCTCCTCTCTCTGTGTAACTCTTTCAAATAAATAAATAAATCTTAGAGAGAGAGGCAGGGTGGTTTGTGTAGAAACAGTTCCGAATCAGGAAGCCAGAAAGCGTCAACCTAGCTCCACATCTGTCCGAGCTGGCTCTGGGCCCTGGGGCCAGGGGCCAGGCACTTCACCGCTCTACATCCACTCCTTCAGCTGGAAGGCAGGAGAACTGGACCTCTCAGCTCCCTTCCCAGTTCTAACACCTAGGACTCTACAGCTAGGAGCTACCAGTAACAGACACAAGGAGAGCAGCACTTTTCACAGGAGCTTTGACAGCAAGAGCAACAGGAAAATGGATATTATCCCTAACAGCTCTGCAACCCCACTGAGAATATCAGTGCATCCTCTCCACATGAAGCTGGCCAACCGCCTCCATCACAGCTAGTGTGGGGTCCTAAGTCATCAGAGCCTCCCTGGGCTCCGCAATACATGTGTGATGGGACTTCTGGGAAGGCACCTTCTGCCTGATCCCACGGTCTAGCAACAGGCCCTACAAGGAATCCAAATGTACAAAGCAAATAGGCAGAGAGCCTGTTGTAGGGGCCAGGCACAGCTCTCGGGACCTCACATGCACTGGCTCTCTAATCCCTACAACAGTTACATAAGGCAAATCCTGTTATCACCCACATTTCCTGTAAATGGAGGCCCAGGGCTGCAATGACCTGCCCAAGGTCATGTAAGTGCAGTAACTGGCTGCAGAATTCAGCAGGCCAACTCTCGGGTATTTGCTAATAACTTATACCACCTGTCTATTAGCTGAAAAGTCCCAAATAGAAAATGATTTTCTCATCATTGATGCACACCTCCCATGCGTAGTAGATGACTGCCTATGTTAAGAACAGGGGGCCCCTTTCCCTTTTTTTTTAAGATTTATTTACTTATTTGAAAGAATTGAAGACAGAGAGATGAAGAGATAGAGACCTTTCATGCTCTGGTTTACTCTCCCAGATAGCTGCAATGACAAGCGCTGGCCTAGACCAAAGCCAAGTGCCAGGAGCTTCTTCCAGGTCTCCCATGTGGGTGCAGGGGGCCAAACACTTGGGCCATCTTCTGCTACTTTCCCAGGCACATCAGCAGGTACCTGGACTGGAAGTGGAGCAGCCAGGACATGAACCAGCACCCTGATGGGATTGCTGGCATTGAAGGCAGCAGCTTTACCAGTTACGCCACAACACTGGCCTTGGGGGAAACTTTCTTCGACAGAGAACACAGAGACCTGATGGATCAAATAACAATGGTATAAGATGGACAGACAAGGCTGGTGCTGTGACACAGTGGGTTAAGCTGCCACCTGCAATGCTGGCATTCCATACGGGCACCCACCAATTTGAGTCCCAGCTGCTCCACTTCTGATCCAGCTCCCTGCTAACATGCCTGGGAAAGCAGCAGAGGACAGCCCAAGTGCTTGGGCCCCTGCACCCATGTGGGAGACCTGGATAAAGCTCCTGACTCCTGGCTTCAGCCTGTCAGCCCTGGTTGTTGCAGCCCTTTGGGGAGTGAACCAGTAGATGAGACACTTTTCTCTCTCTCCTCTCTCCCCTCTCCCCGAGAGACTTTCTCTCTCTCCCCTTTCTCCTCTCCCCTCTCCCCTCTCCCCCCTCTCTCCTCCCCCTCTCTTCTCTCCTGTCTCCCTCTCTCTCTTGCTTCTTCCTCTCTGCCTCTAACTCTGCCTTTTAAATAAATGAATAAATCTTTGAAAAAAAAAAAAAGAAAGGGAGATGGACAGCCTTGGTTTGGCTTCCTGCTCTACTTACTGCTAGTTATATGGACTCTGGAAATTTCTTGAACGAGTCTAAGATCATCAGCTGTGAAATATGGCTGATAATATCCACTTCACTGGTTCATCATGAGGATTAAACAACATGATGCTTGCACAAGTCCTGGCTAGCTTCTAAACCACAGCAGAACAATCTCTAGATCGAGAACCCCCCAGGATAAATAAACTGTGCTGCAGTTCAACAGACCAGGCTGAGACAGAAGTCTCCATTCTGATTTTGAAGGCATCAGTCCATGGATTTAACGGGTATCTAGTTCTTACTCTTCGCTGGGAGTTTAAGACTTCAGGCTCCAGTGAAGTCCCTCCCAGAGAAACCAAAGCGCCAACAGGGACTTCCTCACAGAAGGCCAGGCCAGGACCTCTCCAGTGAGAGCCTGCACCTCCCCAGGGCCATCACTCACCAAACTACACGCTGCATCCCAGTGGTTCCTGCTATCAAATGGACAAAGCAGAGCGATTCGGAGCTCTTCCGGAAGCACAGTGAAAGCTGGGACGCCTACCAGCTGCATCACGCCCAACACTCGCACCTTTGCAAATCCCGAAAGGCTCTCCCCGTGCCTTATCACCATCTGCACGTCCACCAGCTGCAATTTTTGACAGCCTTGCAGTATGTTTCCTAAGTAAAATGAAGCACCAAGAGTCCACATAAGAGCCAAACTCCCTAAGGAAATATCTAGATGAGGTGACAAAGCGAGCACAAGGAAATAAGCATTCAAATAACTGACACAGCTTCTAAAACTGTGCTAAAGCACATTGTTCCTTCAACCACTCTAAATATCCAGAGTAATATACACTGAATTTCTTCATTGCCCTTTGACAGAAAGACATAAAAACTCGAGATGTACTTAAATTAGTTGTGCTTACATGTGTAGTTATACACATACGTGTTGTCTATCCCATCTATCCACCTATGTGTACTTGGGAGCATTTGGTCCACCACTTCTGTAACTTCAACAAGAACCCAAAACAATGCATCTACAGCAACATCATACTTGTTAGTAAACATCCCTGTATGTGTCCGAATTCCCAAGTGACATCTACCATTTATCTGTGTCGTGGTCCAGACTATATTTGAAATATTCACAGAAGAAAAATGCAAATGCCTAAAAATACATAGTAAGTTGTATTTATCAGGTCCCATGCGACAATTTTAGAAAAAAAAATCCTTCAATTATATGTTCCCCAAATCCCAGCTTCAGACCAGTCACAGAAACCTCCAGCCTCAATTTTAAACTTGGAGAAGTTTTACAGTTATACAATGATGCACAACTCTTTAAAGCACCCAAATGCTAACCTTGGACTTCAAACATGTGAAATGAAATCCATTCATCAAACTATCTACATTCTAAAATGTGGATCACAGATAAAGCTTCACTGAAATCATTTACATGCTCATATAAATAACGCCAGAACCCAAAGCTGAACAGGCGAGGCACAGCAGACCCTTGGTGTATGTTTATTTCTTTTTCTATATTTGTCATCCTCGCCTGTCCCAGGACTCCTCTGCACTTCATCTCTCATGTCCTGTGATTCTCCAATATAAACCAGGCTGGCCTTTTTAGGAATATATACATACAGACACTTTTCTTGGAATCATTTCAGTGAAATTTGTATAAATCATTAAGCTAGGCAGGTTTACAGAAGCAAACAGAAAATACTTGTGAAAATACATTAGTAGAGGAATTGAAGCACCAAGAGTCCACATAAGAGCCAAACTCCCTAAGGAAATATCTAGATGAGGTGACAAAGCGAGCACAAGGAAATAAGCATGCAAATAACTGACACAGCTTCTAAAACTGTGTTAAAGCACATTGTTCCTTCAACCACTCTAAATATCCAGAGTAATATACACTGAATTTCTTCAACTACTCTAAATATCCAGAGTGATATATACTATAATATATATCTAATATATATATATATATATATATATATATAGTATAAAGGTACAAATGTAATGTATAGTATAAAAAGCAACAGGAACAGCCAGACAAGATCCAAGCACACTCTGCAGCCACAGGACAGTCCTCTCTCCCTCAACTCTGCCTCCTTTTCTAGAAGGTCTTGATCACTGTGATGATTAATTTTAGGTGTCAATTTGACTGGGCTATGGGATGCCCAAACAGCTGATAAGGCATTATTTCTGGGTGTGCCATGTGTGTGTTTCCAGAAGAGAGGAGCATTTACACCACCAGACCGAGTAAAGACCAGCCCTCCCTAACTTGGGGAGGGAAGGGCCTCGTTCCATCCACGTCAATGCTAGAAAAGAACAAAAAGGCAGAGAGGATGGACAAGGCTGTTCCCTCTGCTTCAGTCGGGGCTTCCACCTCCTGCCCCAGGACACTGGCTCCTCGGGTTCCCTGGACTTTGGGGTTTGGAGTGAACCACACTGCTGGCTTCTCTGGGTCTCCAACTTGCAGGGAGCAGATCATAAAAATTCTCAGGCCCCATAACTGTGGGAGCCCATTTCTCACAAGGAGTCTCTTTCTGCATATCTATCTATCTGTCTGTCTGTCTGTCTGTCTATCTATCTATCTATCTATCTATCTATCTATCTATAGCTTATCAATTCTGAACCTCTATCTATCTATCTATAGCTTATCAATTCTGAACCTCTATCTATCTATCTATCTATCTATAGCTTATCAATTCTGAACCTCTATCTATCTATCTATAGCTTATCAATTCTGAACCTCTATCTATCTATCTATAGCTTATCAATTCTGAACCTCTATCTATCTATCTATCTATCTATCTATCTATCTATCTATCTATCTATAGCTTATCAATTCTGAACCTCTCGAGAGCCCTAAGACAATCACCAAAGGCAGAGCTGACTGGAAGTCAGCACAGATTTCTCCCCTCCACCACACCCCCTTCACCTAAGCAGCCCCCAGAGCTCTTGTGTGCTGACCACCCTGATTTCCCTTGAGGTCCCCTACCCCTTGCCTCTATTTTCACCGTCATGACTTCCACTCAGGGCTGATTGAGGAAATGCGGACTCTCAGGAAGCAGACTTCACAAGGCACAGTCAGGTAAACTTCAGTGCCAGGAAATCTTAGAGGGAAGGGCGCCCTGGACAAGGATGGTCAGGGGCAGGGGGCATCCTTAAGGAGGTGTGT